ATTCCAAAGGCACGGCCTTTCAATTAGAAATAATTGATTTCCTTGACGTTTTATTATTGCTACATATATACACACATTATACATGTATAAATGTATATATATGTATATATATTGGAGAGGTTTCAGGGTGTGCCCCCTCGACTAAAGTGAACTAACAGATTAATTCTAAAATAGAACGCAGAATAGATAACAGATGGAATATATAGGGCAGTAATGGGTGAAAAACACGCGACCTTATTATAAGGGCATGACGACAATGCAGTAAAACCCGCTTAAGACGAATATTTAGAGATCATCATAGATACGAAGACCCGGTTAAGACGACTTCGCAGAAACCACATTAAATGATTTTTGAGACCCTACCAAAATAGGATATAGTAAAACTCGTTTAAGATTAATTTTAGAGACCCTCGGGGGCGTCCTTAATATTTAAAATTAACCCCACTCCCTCGCCAAACATCATGTGCATAAAAAATTGTAGCTTTTTTGAATTTTTTTGAAAATTTTTTGATATTTTTTAAATTAAGATGAAAAACAAATACGCGTGATATCTTACAATACCCTCCCCTTCAAGTGATATTCCAAGATTTTTTTTCCAAGAAATTTTGGAACCTGGGATTCATCATTTTACCACTTGTCTCCCATAAACTGGAAATATCAAAAATAACCCAAAATCAGTTTTTATGTTTTAAACAAATATTTTTTTAGTATTTACTTGTCTGCAATTGTTTATTAGCCGGCCGGTTTTATCTAATATTGAAAATGCAAACGAAAGCGCCGATTACACGTAATTTTGTGTGTATTTAGCAAGGTCGCAGTTAATGTCACCAGCGATAAGAGTATATATTGCTCTGATAAGAGAAGACACTTTGCATTATGAACAACAATATTCGAGGAGAATTATAAATTAAGAATGTATTTTCTTCACCAGCAACTGAAAAAAAGAACTTTTTGAAAAAAAATTATTTTGAAATATTTTGGAAACTCTGAACTTTTTTTCAAAGCAATCGTACTGCTTTGACTGCATGAAGACAAAATATCGAAGCGCGTAAGCGCCGCGTCGCCGTCCAACGGATAAACATTGGTACGGAACCCATAGGAATGTAAACGAAATGTATACTTTTGTTAAAATCTCTATAAAATATCTGATAATTTGATGTGCATATGTCTAATGATCATTTTTTACCGCCAAATGGTATTTTTTTTTACTTTTTTACTAGATCTCCGAAACCGCTAACCCTGCCTTCATGAAAATTTGATCATTTCTTCATCTTAATACAAGTAAAATGTTTTTTGAATTATTCAAATCGGACGCTCCGTTCTCTTAAAAACTGAGTTACCGTTTTTGGCACTTTTTGCCCCTTATCTTCGGAACGGCTAGACCTGCCTTCGCCAAAAACTAATCAGCACGTTTCCTTATCAATACGAATCGCTTTGAATTGTTCAAATCGCTTCATCCGTGTTCCCGAAATCGTCGACGAAAATTTGTATCCGCACACACACACATACATAGACACATATATCAATTTTTTCTAAGGTATGCCAAAATGCTCAGAAGGTAAAAATATATAAAAATTTTAATTTTCGATTTTTTGCGATTACTATAACTTGCCTTAAGGGAAGTTGATTACTCTAATATTTCATAAATTTCAATTGGTTCAGCTATTTACTTCTGCTCGACATCAGGCTGTCGAAGGTGAATATCAAACATGAAACCTCCTAATGCGAAGTCTAAACAAATAAGTGATAATGATGAACCACAACAAATTCGGTGTCAAAGTATTAAGAGAATCCCTTAAGGATTCTTAAAAGATATATAAATTCATCATAAACTATGACTAAATATTTTCCTAGAATAAATCAAAATTAAGGCGAAGGCCGTACAATGGCGTTATTAGGCCATCGATTGATTTAATTCATATGTATTAATACATACATATGTATATACTTCTATGGATTTCATATTTTTATTATCGTGCAGTCGTAAAATGAAGATAGCATTTGATTTCATAAGGTTCCCTTTATTACATATTCCTAGAACTCGTTCAAGAGGATAATTGGAATTTATCCAGAAATTAAAGGGCACAGTTATATGTAACTGATAAGGCCAACATGGGTCAAAGGACCTTATGGTAATAAATAAATATTGGCTTTACTAGCAACTTAGAGCTTTAGAGCATTTCTAGTAGACTGGGAAAGACCAATAAACTTGAGTTGAATACCATACAGATCAAAAATTGGTATTCAAATTTGTAAATTGAATATTGAGTTAATAACAATAATAACGAGTAATATATTATTTGGAAATCATAAAGTATTGAATTTTTGAAGTAAAACTTCTTTAGGCGCGACTAGGGTGTGAACTGTGAATCCGTAGAAATGCAACGGAAATTGCGTTACGCCCGAAGTGTGCGTCATTCGCTCTCGATGATATCATTTCAATACGGGTCGATTGTGATTAGCCGTCGTGTGTGAATAGAGATCTATTGTTGTATATAGACCGGAATCAACGTTGTATGCGTACCGATATCAACAAGAAAATCGGCATAGATAAATGAACATTTTAAAGTTACATCGTAGTACAAATCTTGATTTAATGAAAAATGCTTCAATCAGAAGAATATTTTATCCTGTTTCTTGAAAATAATAAAACAAATTAAACATTTGTGCCGTGTACTAAACGTAAGTTTATTGATTAGAAATTATTTCTATATTATTCGTAGTTTTTATAAATCTTTATTTATAAGATAGATATTACAGATGTTCAAAAAATGAGATTAAATCGCCATTCAGTAATTGTTGTTAATCAGTATCTAATATAATATTTACAAAGTTTAAAGAATAAATTTGAATTTATTTTTAAAATAATTAAAAAATAAAAGATATACATACCACACCAGGAAAAACTATTTTGATATTATTATGATAAGTGCCATGTACTAGAAGAGCAGAATTTTGCTTATTAACGCAAAAGGGGTTTAAATACAGATTCAGCAAATTTTCTGAGGTCAACATTCTTTTCCTTATGTAAAATAATAGGATTTTGGTATTAAAAGTATGGTTCAAACTAAAGACATGTTCCGAAAACATTGTCTTAAACTGATTTTTATTTTTTGTATTGCAAATGTGTTGATTCATTTTCTTATATATATATATATATATATATATATATGTATGTATATATATATATACATGGATGAATAATGTTAATTTTAAACCCAGTTTTTTCTTGATTGGTGTTCAACATGCTAAGCAAATCCTCATTTCACGTAATTCAATATTTCCAACCAACATGAGGTCAAACATTTTAGTGCGGAGGCAGCGACACGATTGTTTTATTTTTTATTACATAATTATATAAAATAGAGCTTTTCCGTGTCTTGGTGATAAGAGCTTTGGCCTTTCAAATTGAAGGATCAGGTTCGATACTCGATTCGATATTCAAAATATGTTTCCTTTTAAAAATAGCCCGTTTCCAAATAAAATAGAAAAGTAATTAGTGTAAGAGATACTTTGATAATTAATGTTTCAAATAGTGGATAGGCCCCTTGGGTTGCCTTCTAAAATAACATTTTGTGAGACACAACGTTTATAAATAAAAATTTCCTATAATAACATTGTTAAATGCTACTTTATATTATGGACATTATAAAAATAGAGTATAATTATTATTTTCATTTGTTATTATTCATATCTTAAAATGTGTATGTAATATATGAATTTAATAGCAATATTTAAATTCATAATTAGGAAAAAAGAGCACATGTTTATATAAATTCTAATCATTATTATATGGAATAAAAATGTTAAACTCGAAATAATTTGGGTAAAAATAAAACTTTACTAGGGTGTTCGTAAGCGTAGAGCCTTAAAATTATGAGTTTCAGGCTCAAATATGCACC